AAAAATGATAATAAAGGGAGCTCGCAAGTCGAACTGTCGGGATTCTACTCCTCTTACGAGTTGATTGAGTTTGACAAGTAATGAGTATGGGAAACTACTTTAGGATACTTGGATGACCTCCAATGTTTATATCTAGGGAATGTTGTCCTTACGGTTTGATCTTGTTTGGAAAAAGTAAACTCCCCTTGAAAAAAAAAAAAGGAAAAAAAGCGGTCAAGTACACTCTTTGCAGTTTGATTTGAGCATTTATGAGTTGTGTATGGATTATTTTGGTTTGGGGATGAGAAACACTTTATGTTGATTAGGGATGAGTAGTGGAGTAGTCGAGTAGTCTATTTACTCGACTGGTATGATTGTTTATTTGAGCCACTTTATCCATATATATCCCACCTTTGACCAAATAGCCTATGTTACAACCCGAGAAGACCTTTTGATTTAAAGCTCACGATTACTAATTGTTTTTGAAGTAGGGTGTTAGATGATTGGCAAACATATAGTTAACTGGGTGTTTAATTTGACATGAGCGTATCCTTCTCTTTTATATATTGATGACATGTGAGTGAGGCCCTTATATATTCCTATTTGAGAGTTCGTTGATTCAAGGTAGACACAAGATAGTAGTCAAAAGCATGATTATTATGATCGTTTGAATTTTTCTTGGTTGCATTGAAGAACTTGAAACTATTCTAGTTTGATATCACTCATTATGCTTGAGTTTTGATTTTCTTATTCTTGTTCGGGGACGAACAAGGGTTTAAGTTTGGGGGAGTTGACATTCATCATATTTTCATGCATTATGAGTGATATAGTGTGATGTTTGACCGTGTTTATTGTGAGATTGTGTACCATTTCGTTTGATTTATTAATCTATGATAGAGGTATATTTGTCGTTGGTTTTGTAGGAAACATGCCCGAAAAAGCGTTAAAGATGGAATCAGGATGAAAAACGGCGAAAATAAGGTGCAGGCAGGGTCACACGACTCGTGTTGTATGTGACACGAGTCGTGTGAGGTGAGAAAAATCGAGATCATGCAGAATTTTGGTGCGGCTTTACCACACGAGTCGTGTGGCCCATGACACGGGTCGTGTGGGCTCACACGACTCGTGTGATGTCTCGTGTAGGTTGACCGTGTGAGTCTGGGAGCGGGGCAAAAATTCGAAGAAAGTCACACGACTCGTGTGGCTAGTGACACGACTCGTGTGACGCGCAGACAGTCCAGCGGGAATTAGGAAACCTACGCGATTTTGTCCCTTTTTCGACCCATATTTGCCCTACAGTATATAAGGAACATAAAGAACACGGTTCTGGGACTTTGGACACCATTGGAGGCCTAGGGAAAGAACGAAACACACGAGGGATTCGAGGAAGTCAAGATTGAAGATCCGGGAACTAACGGCGACATAGTTCTTCTTTCTTTTCTCTTTTTCTTCTTCATTGAACTCATGGATTTATTTATTTTGAGTATTGAGAATATGTTTAGTAGCTAAATTCCTTTGAGATTCTAGGATTTGCAAGTACTCGGATTATTTTACGAAGTGAATTTGTTTATTCATTCCGGTCTATCTTTCGTTTATCAATTTCTTGTGCTTATTACTATTGTGTGAGTAGACGGCTGCTATGAATGCATATTTGTAATTGATTTGAGACCGAGAGGAGATAATTGATTGCTAGAATTGGGAAATTCATAACGTAAGAGACTAAACAGACCGAGAGGTTGATAGAATCTTGCGAGGGAACTAGAATCTTAGGAGCTTATGGGAGTTAGTTGCTCATCTTGAGACCGAGAGGAGATAGATAGCAATTAATATCTACGATTTAACTTGTTCGAGAGAAAGGTGTAAATTATTTTAGTGATTATCCCTACAATTGGTAGAATTAAATAAGGTTTGAATGAATAAGAAAACTTCGCTAGAATAATCCCGAGGAAAGCATAGCCTAGAATCTATTTTCTCATACTTGATTTATTTAGAACAAGCCTTCATTAGTGTTAGAATTTATTTTTGCATTCATTCATTAGTTTAGAATAAAAACTCCACTCGAATTTGCATTAGTCTAGATAATATTTAATCGTCTATATTTTGGTACTTAATTAGTTTAACAACAGTCTCTGTGGAATTCGACCTTGCTCGCCGCTTTCTACAGCTACGCCGTACACTTGCGGGTAGTAAAAATATTTTACGAACAACACGTGAACCTTTTTGTCCATATAATGTTTGTAAAAATCGCTTATTATTTTATTGCAAGATTACCTATTAATTTATCAATTGGGTTACATTTATTGCACTTACATATTAAATAATGAAAAGTATTATTGTATATATATAATATGGTATTTATATGTTATATTAAAAAATTAATAGCAAATAAAACGTTATTTAAAAATCAAAATAATTAATGTTTTTAAGAAAATGCGGTGAACAATTTGACTCGTTTCCATATGTAAGTACAAATTTTAAAAGTTCTATAATTACTTTTACTAATTATAATTTTATTACTTTTTTTTTCATAGTTATTAGTAAGTGTTACAACTTTATTATAAATTTAATATTATTTATCAGATTTAATACTTTTTTACTTTATATTGTTCTTTCATATGTTTTTTATATGTGTGTGTGTGTATGTAATTTTTAGGTTTGTTAAAAAATACATAAAATTAAGTATAGCACTATTTGGGTCATATGTCTTATTTATATAAATTAATTTATATCTTTTTATTATATTATATATAATTATAATCTTCTCATTTATATTTAAATATATAAATATTTTATTTCGTACATTTTTTAAAACCATTTTATTATAATAACACATATTAATAGATAGATGAGTAATGATAATATACGAATATAATTTTTTTGATAAAAAAAATAATTTTCAACATGTAGGCATATCATGATTCTCGAGATATTTTTAATTAATTTGTAGGTAATTATATGGTCAAAATTACACGTTGCTAAAGTGGTATCTCTTTAGACGTGAAAAAAATAGATTAAGTTTTAGTATTCTACAATTTCATAAATCTTATGTAGCAAAGAAGTTGAATAGATTAGAAGTTTAGGTTGCAAAACAATCATTCAACAATTAATCTCGCATACTATCACAAATTTTTTATAGGTTATTTTGAAAATAATGTTTCTATACTTTGTGTTCGTTATGAGAAAAAACAATATCGATTTCTTTAAAGAACTTTCATATATTAGAATTATGAAATGTGATTACAATTTTGCCATTAAAATTATATTAAAATAATGGCGTTTTTTCAAAACAACAATTTCATATCCTATTAAACAGTTTTAGAGATATGTGGAAGAAAACAAATTTATTTTAGGAGTGTGGAATGATTTGTTCATGTATTTGTATTTAATTAATTATTAATTAATAATATAAGATATGATGAACATTATTATATTACTAATTTGTCATTAAAAACATGTCAAAGTAAGAGTTTTTTTAGGTAGTTTATTTTTAATTAAAAATATAACAGAGAAAATTGAGAGATCGTAAATTCTGATGTATTTATTAATAATAATTATGTTTATTAGAAAAGTTATATTACAAATTTGTCATTAAAATATAACAAAGTAAGGATCTTTTTGGTATTAAATATTTGTACAAAAACACTCATCATTTTACAGTAGTAAATAATAAATAATAATAAATAAATAAAATAAAATAAAATATAGAAGTATAGATATAGATATAGATGGAATTAATCCGTCCTCCGTCTTCGAACTTGTTGGCTTGAAATGGTTGCCTACAGAACTGAGCTCAATGAACCGAAATTAGATCGGCGACGTGATCGACTAAAATGGGGACCAGAAGTGGTGAAATAGTGTACAGATTTTACAGAGCCTTAACCTACGGCATATCGCCGCTAATACGCCTCCATCTGCAGTGGCGCAGATTTCGGGGCCGCGAGCACCCCCTCAGGTGGCCGGAACGCGTCGGCCGCCCGTCCGCACTCCGGCCCGACGGTCGCCTCGTCTGGTTCCACGCCGTCTCATTGGGTAATTCATTTATTTTGCTTCAGTATTTTTCGAATTGTAATCGGCAAAGTTACGATTTTCTCTGCTGTGAACAGGTGAAGGATTGGCAGCCATACCTGTGATCAAGTGCTGTCTGGAGAAGAGGCCGGATGTGGCTGTGTTGATGACGACTACAACCACCTCAGCATTGTAAGAACCACTGTTTTTGGTGGGGTAATTGTACATCGTTTTCCTTGCACCATTTTCACCTTGAGAAAATGCTATGCTTCAACAATGTTACTAGTTTCCTTAGTGATTTGCCTGGAAAATGACATTTTAAAGAGTATTAACTTTGTTTCCCCTTTTTTCTTTTGTTTGTGTTTTTGTTTTCTTGGCCTCCAATTTGTTTTGTAGTGAAGTAATAAAGAAGAGACTTCCAAGCAATGTTATATATCAGGTACCGAATGTCATTATTGAAGTATTTCATTACTGTTCTGCAGTATCTTACTATAACGTGGTTGAATTTCACCCGTATGCTTGAGAAGTTTCCTGGTAAGACCTTGGCAAATATAAACTACTACGTACTGACATTAGAATGTCTAGATTATTGTTCGGTTTATTGGTTTCTAGTTTACCATTCTCGTGCACTACCACATTAGGCTGTCTCGATATCTTATAGAGGGGGTGATGCTTATTTCATTTCTTATTTGTTTAATTAACTTAATACGCACTAAGCCAGGCGTAATGTTTGTAGTTAGAGAGCCTTCAAGTGGTGGAATTTTGTTGAATTTACTGATATTCTTTGCACCAAAGGGAATGATTGTTAACCACGATAGTAATTCTATGTGTGAAACCAGTTTGCTCCTCTTGATATACCGTCTAGTATGGATGCTTTTCTTAAATACTGGAGGCCAGATGCTGTCATGCTAATGGAAAGTGAATTGTGGCCCAATCTCATCATGGGTGCTGCAAGAAATGGTGTAAGCTATACCTTCCAAATTACAGTTCACGTTTGTTGTGATTGTCTCCATGGATGAATCACAAATTTGTGCATGTTTATATAAATTTATGTCAGTCAACTTTAACCAGTGCAAAACTCTGGCATTCCTGATCTTTATTTTCTGTGAAAACGTGGGTTGGGTTTATGGGTGTTTCATTATTACTATTGGTGTATTATGTTCTCCAGTGACATAAACATTTATATCCTAATCTTGTGATGTATTTACACCTGCACTTTGTCTGACTAGGTTCCACTGGCATTGCTAAATGGTAGAATGTCTACAAAATCCTTTCAGAAATGGTCACATCCACTACTTCTTCCGTTGATCTCGTTGTTGCTATCAAAATTCACATTGATTCTCCCATTGGTATGAGTTCTACTTTGCCTTGGAAAATTTTATTATAGTTTTGTATATGATGTTTCTTTCTCTCTTTTATTTCAGAGCACAGCACAAGGAATCAACTTTCAGCTATTACAAGCTCCACTTTTTAGCATCAGTTATTCTGGTGATCTCAAATATGGTACGCCCCTTATCTAGATGTGGTCTCTATCTGAAAATTTCACAATACAATATGTAGACTAAACAGCAACAGACCGTTTCTTTTATAACTAGGTTGATTTATGCCTCTATGACCAATAGCAATTAGGTTTCAATGGTAATTTATTTTTTCTTTTTTTTTTTGAAGTAATTTTTTATTTCAGAAATAAAAATACATTTCTGGTAGATAATCCTAGACTTCAATTGTTATGCTTTCAATATGATTGCAAAGAATGATTTACGACCAGAGTTGACTAAAACTGATGAGCATTTCGTGTTACTTATGTTGTTCAGCAATAGCTGAATTTGGTGATCCTGAAAGGGATAAAATTTTCTTGGAAGAGTTTAAGGCACCGCTTTCGTGTAGAAAAGTGTGGATGGCTTCTTCAATTCACAAGGGTGAAGAGGAAGGTTGGTTCTTCAATTCATAAGGGTGATCTGTTGGCTTCTTTATAAATTAGAGTACTTACCTAGCATTTCTCACCTTGGGCCATAATTTGCTAATCATTCGTCGTTATAGAGGTGTACTTCTAGATTTATATTCGAGAAAATAAGTTTTAGGGACAGGTATGAGAAATTTTTTAACAAAGCAACCGAGGATTTCCATACCAGTATTGACGTGAAATTTGTGCCTTTATGTTATCTTTCGAAACAACCATATAATTATCGTATTAACTCATACTCATGAAACTTTCTGCAGTATTTATAGGAGCTCACAACATGCTAAGGCAGATGCATGCTAACATACTAACTATTATTGTGCCTCGTCAACCTCAATGTGGACAATATATTGCTCAGGTAAGGCTTTATGCCTTAAATCCAGTTATCATTTACGTGCATAATGCTGCCTGTACGTTTTAGTGTAGTTTAGAAAGCATACTCCTCTTATAGTAACACATAGGGTATAATTTATTAACATTTAAATCTATGAAGTGATAGATTAAATTAACTACGGGATTCGGGAAGGAGTTATTTTTTCCATCCATTTAATTTGGACTTGTTTTCTCTTTTAATTTTTCTAGCATGCTTATCATGGTGGGTCTGGGATATTTGTAATACTTCAGAAACTTTCCATTCTTTATTAGTGTGTGCTCTGCTACCTGGGAAATATTCTTATGGACAAAATAAAGAGTTTCCATGCAGTCATTTAGTGAGATGTTGAACACATTTTTCCAATTGTATGATGCTTTTGTTCCCTCTCGTAATATATCTGCAGATCTCATAGATTTCTAGTTTCTGCTAAAAAGATTTGAAGTCACTTCAATCTATAAATAGTTTGCACATGTTAGTTATTACATAGTTTCTTGTATACTTCTAGCAACAAGCCTCGTGAAATTTGCCATACAGCTTTCAGAAATTGTACGTTGATTATCATGCTAACTTATATTTGGCTCTAATGACAGAAATTGAGGGAGCAAGGTTTTTGTGTCTCATTGAGATCTCATGGTGACTACCCCACCACTGAAACAAGTGTTTATGTAGTCGACTCATTAGGTAGACCTTTGTATCTGTGTTTTTCCTTTGTTGAGTTATGTAGATTAGTTGCACTCAAGAGCCATCCATGGTGAACGGTTATCTTTTATTGTTTAATTTTTTTTCATCGTTTTACATTTTCCTAATATTTTTCTCATCCATTTGTATATTTTGTCCTCGGACAATGACATCCTGAAAAGAAAATTAGCTATAATTTGTCTTTTAAGTGAGATTCATATTTGCAAATCATTGAGCAAGCAACTTAATTACTATAATCAGATCTACTTTGTATTTATTTTGTTCCTTACTTCTTACACTAATTAGGATTTCTCAGGGGTGCAATGACAAAGTGGAGCCTAAGCTATTTAGACATGCTCTACTCCCGTTTTGCCCTCATCATATTTTCCCTCAAGTGCCTCTCTCTCTCTCTCTCTCTCTTTTCTTTTTTAATGCTCACATGTAGAATTCTAAAAATTGATCTCATGACTTTTTCTTGATCGTATTTTGAGCATTAGCTCGTTTATCCATTGGTCTCATGGGCATAATACCAGAAATTGACCAATTAAGCATTGGTTTTCCTTATAACTTTGAAATGCCAAATAAGTTTTTTCAAGCAAAAAACAGACTTTAGTTAAAACTACTTTGCCAGATTAACTTACCAACTCGGCACACCGTATCATGTGTTGGCAAAATATGAATTGCTGATTTTGGTAATATTATAATGAGAAGAGTAATGGATGCTTGCTATGTGTATAATGAGAAATGGATGGTTACCATGGGATTTTTGATAACCCAATATGTAAACCATTCTGGCAGTGTAGACTCATAAGACATTTCTTACGTGACGACAAGGAAGTTCACTGTCTTGTTGCGTACTCTTTCTATTTGCATCATGTAAGAGAATTAATCTCAAATGTCTTGTCTTGATTTGTAGGTGAACTGAGAAACTTTTATGGATCAACACCAATAGCTGTAATAGGAGGTTCATTCGTACAGGGATCAGCTGGTCACAACATATCAGAAGCTGCTGCTGCTGGCTGTGCTATTCTGACAGGTAGATAAATTTAAAGGGAAAAAAAAAAGTTACCGGATTCCTGATATGTGGTCAAAAAATTTTCCAGGTCATCATGTTGGCCACTTCTCGCATATGGTAGCAGAAATGCAGCGGGTCAATCCCCTTTCAGTTCTACAGGTATGAAGAATCTTTTTCAATTTGTGTTTTCTTGCTTTCCTTCACCATGCCCACTTTCTCCCACCCTCAACATATGAGACTTGTTTTTGGTAAATTTATGGCTGGCTTGTTGAATATAGCCTTCTATTGTTTAAGGTATCTGGTGAAAACCTTGTTGAAGCTATTAACGAGCTCCTTAGCAATGTAAAAATTCTGGAAGCACGACGTGCAGCTGCCAGACAAGCATTCCGTGCATTGTCTAATGGAGTTGTTGAAAGCGTCTGGGAAATGTTGAAGTGCCATGTATTTATCAAGTCCATGATCAGAGATGGTTGTAATGGAACAAAGAGCCAAGCATGAAGGGGTACGTTTCCATCTTCATATTCATTGCATATTTAAGGTGAAAAAAATGTGTAAGCTAAAAATGTTTTGTTACACACGAGTTTCTTCCTTTCACTTCCATTGGTTTAGACTATGTAACAGCTTTGTCCCTGGCCAATACCATGTACTGCTGTCCACATTATGCCTTTGATGAACTTGGGCACTATCAATTCCAGCACATGCTGAATATGGCCCGAAATTGGGCCGGCAGCACACACTAATACCCAGTCTGTTGAAGCTTTTCATCTAACTTCTCATCAAAACTTGCTTCAAACTACTGAATGTAAGAATGTAAATCACCAAAACTAGTGAATCTATCCAAAAACGAATAAGTCAGGAAACATAGGAATGCCACCAAATTAAATGCATAAAGTTACACTATCATTAAACAATTAAATCATGCATACATGCTCGTTTGCTTGATTCCACCATCAACGACCATGTATCTTTGCTAGTTCATACTTCATCTTCACTAGAAATTATTAATTTAATTGCTGTCAAGAAGGAAGCGATTATATGTTCTTGTATAGCAGTGTACTATTATTTAAGAATTTGACTTTATTATCTTATCCTTTATGGCGATCTCGTCTTTTGTTTCTGATGAAGCCGCTATGGCAGAAAGAAAATTTGTTCCGTAAAGAGCTGTCACTTGTTAGATACTAAGGTAAACATCAAGGCTCCTTTATTGATGTTGGACTTAGTTATGTGACATTGCGAGGCTATTAGCTGAGTTATTTTATTGTTTTCACTGCAGGCTCGGGAAAATTAAACAAAATAGGTAAACTATAAACATCCGCAGTTTGGTAAAGTGATTTGAAAAGATGAGGTTACAATGTCAAGGATGTCCTCGACTTCCAGACAGGTTGAAAATGTAATGTAGACGTATGTGTAGTTGCCTGGGCACAATCAAATCAAATGAGTTAATCGATTCTCTTGCGATTGGCCTCTGGAATTCAAAGGCAACTCGGTTCATCGTAATGGGTCCTTTGAAATGAGATGAAGTAGTTGTGATGGTTATCATTTTCCTTGTGCTTGAGAAATGAGTTTTTGGGGAAGTTACTGAGAACTAGACGTGTCCAAATGTCGGGCCGGTTCACGACCCGGCCTCAAAACATGGGCCTGGAACCGGCCTGGCTATATGTAAGAGTCGGTTCATTGAATTGGCCCGACCCGGCGGTTCAAGGTTTTCTTAATANAAAAAATAAAATAAAAACTATGCCAAAAAAAACCGGACTCGTCTTCTGACCCGGAATCGACCCGATATTACCACGGGTCCGGTTCAGGGATCCGTACATACGGGTCGGTTCTGGGCCAGGGTCCGGGTTCCAGGTCGGCGGTTCGGGTCAATTTTGATAGTACTCTTGCACCCCGAACCGGTTTTCCTCCGTTCCCCAACCATTTGAGCTCCCCAAGACCTGCAAGCACCTCCCGGCGGTAAACCTTCAACGCTCAAGTCAGTAAAGGATAGAGAAAAACTTTATGTAATTGTCAAGTAGTATTATGGTTTGTAGAGTGTGATTAACTTTACCATCTTACCAGATTTATTTATTTATGGCATTTCCTAGCTTCTTTCGTACGCTTTACTCCTCGTTCGTTAGACTATTTATCCCTTCAATGATCCTGACACTACACGTGTTCCTTGTGAACCAATTTTAATGACTGTAACATTTGCTCGGTTGGGCTACTTCTATACCTAAACCACACATATAGCTGAGCTGTTACTGGGCCGAGGCCATACAATATCGAATTACTATCTTATCTGCTTGGTCGAGCTACTTCTATAACCAAACCGCACACATATTCGACCTGTTATTGGGCCGAGCCCATATAACACCGAATTACTATCTTATCTGCTCGGTCGTTGGTACAACCAGGCCACTAATGTCGCCGAACTACACTCGTATCCGAGCAACTAACTTTTACTGAGCTTGTAGCGGCCCTTCACCACAAAAGGCCGAGCTATTAACAAAAGACTAGACCACAAGCAACCTCTTAGTCCACAAACTGAGCCGATTCCTACCCGGTCCGCCTAGTTATTCTCATGTGTTATATCAAATCCTGGCTATGTGTATTGAGAACCCATGCAAAATAGAAAATGCCCTTGAGGTTTGGTGAGGGCATTGGCATTATATATCCGCGTTGTTACATTTTCAAACTTGTAAGGGAGTACTTTCGGAGATTGGGCT